GACATGTTTGCATTCTTGAAATTCTTTTACTCTCAGACAATACTGACCGAACTATAGCTCACATATCCAATGCAACACTAGACCTAGAGTTTTTCAGCTAAATGGATATCAAAGGATTTTGTGGACAAACAGAAACATAAATCAATGAATTGGAAAGGTGATTAACATTAAGGATAAATAAATAAATTAAGACCGTTGAGCTCTTTATTTATTGAGACTAAACAAGGGTTTCACATCGTTGGAACCATTTACCTAAATTAACAGTCATTTCAGCTGCGTTCGAAACTTGTCTGATGGCAGAATAGGCAGCTATATCGGCTATACTAGCAGTTGTTCTTCCGGCTAGCCACTGCGACTTTCCTAGAGACTTGTTTAGAAACTGCAAGAAGCTGGTCCTTTCTGTTTTAGTCCTGGACTTTACCACCAGATAGGCGGAATCCAATAGAGAATCAATTTCGTGAAAATCTTGATCGGAATCGTAATTCAAAGGTGCTTCGGTGACTCTGACCAAATACCTCAAGAGATTAACTTCACCCAAAATCGGAAGAGGAGTTACCAGTAGTTCCAAATTGTTACCAACTGCAAAAAAAACATTTTAAATGAAACAGCCGAGCAATATAAAGCAATAACAACTGAAATATTTTTTAATGAACTGGAACAAACTTCTAGAAGTGTGTTTCACAAACCAAGTAATGAACTTCTAAATGTTTATTGTTTCAGTTTTTTCAAAAGTACCCTCATTAAAAAAAAGGAAAAATGGACGTATTGAAGTCCTCAGTAATATAGAAAGATCTTGGCGTAACCATAGATAGCTCTTTGTCTTTCTACGAACATGTGACAAACATTTTCAATGTATCATTCTTCAAACTCAAATCGCTGTATAAATTCAAGTATCAGTTATCAGAAGAAATGAAACTCAGGTTAGTTAAAACTCTTATTTACCCCCATATCGAGTATTGTTGTTCGGTGTATTACAATTTTATGCGGCAATATAACAAACAGAAGTTACAACGTATACAAAATGCCTGCATACGATTTGTATGCTGTATACCATATGGTGAACATGTCACCCCATTACTGGGCAACATTATGGGTTGAATCTGTTTATTGATACTGCTTTAGAATTGAACCTCGATAAAAATGTTAGGTGTTGTTTTTGATGACAAACTTCAATGGAGGACACATATTGACCACTTATGTAATAAACTTAGAAAGGCCCGTTATTCTCTTAGGTTTCTCTCCCACCATTGTGGTCACAGTATTTTATTAACTGTCTACCCTTTTATCATACCTAACAGTTACCCTGTTTCTATCCATATGAATATCATTTTCGAAAGTGATTAATGTTTGCAAAATCATGTTTCGGCTTTCAATTAATGTAAAAGAAAAAAAAAACAAAAAAGATTTTTGTAAACACTGATATTTCCCAAAAAATTATTTACGATCCTAATCAGTCTCTAGGAATTTACATTTCTTTGGGAAAGAAGCATGCAAGAATTTATATGAAATCTTATTTGAGCTGATGAGAAAATTGAAAGTTCAACATGAACTTTCGGTCCAGTTTGAGAGTGAGCTATTCATATAAGTGGAAAGTAGATCAATACTTTTTCCTTTATCTTCTCTGGTGTAAAGTGATTTATGAATGTTGATAAATATAGTTATTTCAGATGAGTTCTTTCTTCCCATTTGTATCTCAAAAAAACAACATTGATTGAAGAGATTTTACTGTTATTTGTAAAATGTTTCCTCTCTCTTTGGAAGATCATCATCTTCATGTGAGATTATAGAAAAGTTCCTAAAAAGCCACGTCTTCCAACGAAATGCATATGCACAAACATTTAAATTTTAATGATCTCAAAATAAGATAACCTCTTCTACTCTTATTGATGATTATGGAACTGTCTAGATTTGTTTTTCAGTAAAATATATAAATTCAACAACTCTAGACGTTTCCATTAGTTATTGAACACAAATGTAATAACGAAAACGAATAAAACCTTCAAAAACTGCTTAACCTGGTCGAAAATATCCAATTTTTTGTTCGATGCTTTAGCGTGGTCTTTGTTACTTCCACAATCACTTTTGGAGTTTGAATGGATATTTTTCAAAGCGTACATACATTTCGGCAATTCCACGGGTAAATCGTGCTTTATAATTTGTTTCGTTCGATACATTTTTATTGGGCCATTCATTTCTACAATATTTATTGAATATTCTCCCTGAAAAATAAAATCTAAATTTTATTTTCCACCTTGTCAGTCCTCCCCTCCTAGATATTACAATTGCTTGCTTCCACTTCCACCAGCCACACTTCCACAGACCACTGATCAGTGTTGCCACTAGCTGATGAAGAAATTATCGTGCAGAGCTGCCAAAATTATCGATTTCTCTTGAAAATTATGTTACAATTTTCTTTGTTATGTTGTTTTGAAAAAAAAACGCCACACAAAAAATATCACAAAAACCTAAATCTAGTCCGAAATTATTTGTTTCATTACTGGAAAAATTGACGTCGGTTTTGGCGTTGAATCTTTTTCGAATGTCAACATTTTTGACAAAATATCATCATTGAAATCGAACCGTTTTCTTATTTCATTTGAGGACGTAATTAAAAGCTGGCGACACCGAATGTTAAAATTTTCTTGCTCTTTTTGATTCAATTTATTGATGTTTTTCAATATGCAAACACCAAGATATGTTTGTTTTAAGTCAATAAACTGACTATCATTGCAAGGATCTATTTGAGATAATTCAGTTTTTTGAATATATGATGGTTTCAAATAACTTGCTAATATGTCTTTATAAGTGCTGCAAACTACATCATAAACGTGTGTTATTATGACAGATTCACTTTGAAAATATTCATTAAATTCAACAAATTTGGGTAAAACTCATTGAAGAAGAAAAAAAAGTTTAGTTTCCACATCATTCAGTCTGTTGGCAATAATTTCGGATGCTTGTAACCTATGTTCGGTCCATTCTCTTACAAAATATAGTTGAGGAGGATGCCATTGTTCAATAATCCTTTCGACCACCATTAGTAATGAGAGCCATCTGGTTTGTGATGGACGCAAAATTTTGTGGGGCTTCACATTCTCCACATTACAAAATGTCTGAAACTCAGTAAATTGAGCTTGCCGCTTAGAGCTGTTTTTAAAATAGCCATATATATTTCTGGCCAAATCCTCACGGTAGCGAGGCAAAACTTTACAGGCCTCATGATTTCAATTTTTTTTATTGGTACAGTAAGAATAAAACCTGCAAAGTTGAAACATTCCAAGACTAAAAAATTATGTTACAATTATCGATTATATTACACATTATCGTTTGACTTAATTTTATGGAGAAAAAATATGTTACAAGTGGCAACACTGCCACTGATCCTTCAGAGTAATAAATCATTACTCTGAGACTGATCCACCCACAGACCACAGACAAGAGAATTCGAACAGATTACGTTCAAAGCAGCAAAGCACAGCACAGATATCAAAGTTTAGTTCAGATAAAAGATTCCAAAGCAATCATTGTCATTGACCTTGAATTGTAAGAGAAAAGGTGTCGCTTCTACTCATCTACTCTGGTTCCACAGCATAGGTAACAATCAGCAATGTCACTTCGCTTGGCGGGAAAAGTTCGCGCATAGCAGTCGCGTTGATAAGTCAGCCATTTTGGGAAGTGATAGATTTTCTAATTCTGCTTTTGGCTTTGCTCTTGTTAGGACAAATTGTGAATTAAATAATTAATCTCTGTACTGTTATTTCAGAGCATTTCAGAACGGAACTCTTGACACATTCGGTAACTTAAGGATGCCCAAAAATGAATTTATTTTATTTTTTCTTTGGAAGTAAACCTATGTTACCTATGCTGTGCTGGTTCATTTAGGCTGCAATATAGGCGTTTTCTGGCGTTTAATTGTTTTCCAGCTTGTTTCAAAAACGATTCGTAGTGACGTCATTATTAATATGATTTGCCTGACTGGAATGATTTAATTTGTGTCAGATGTGAAATTCAATAATAGAAACAAACTTTTCAATTTTCCCAAACCCCTATTAGAATCAGATTTATGCAAATAATAATTTCCCAACTCTATTTTGTATGAACTATAACGATCAAAATAAAGCAGAAACTGACAACTGACTAACGTAACGTCAAATTCCGTTTCAAAACTAACCGCACGCTAGTTTTGAATCATCTTGAATAAGTTTCAAATCAAAGTTGATGTCATCGTTTCAACGCTAGAATGGATGTATTTGAATTACAGAGGAATACATTTTGAATACATGAGCGCGAAAAAACGCCTTATATTCGAGTTGAGGGTCGTTCAAGCTGGCAGTGCTTCTTACCTTATGTCATTGATCTTGCAGAATTTTGTAATACCTTAGTGTATGAATACACTTGAGAAAGCTGAGTTGCTAACGAAACATGTGATTATATTTTTTCAAATTATGTTTGTGGAAATCAAATCGTGAGGTGTGGTTTTTGAAAAAAAATTAAAATGTGTATATGTTACAAAAAGTATTTGAAGCTTTATAACTCCTATTATATGCGAGCGCTTTCAACAGCTGGTCGTGTTATCATCATCAAAGCTCTACTCAAATTACCAGTTGCCTATCTAATAGTCTTGAATTCATTTTACAATGTTGCCTCATCAAATAGTCATGTGAATCTGTTAAATGAAATACAAATCCACTAGTTATATAGTATACTATTAGGACTTGGTCCACCATCGTTATTCATAATATTGTTGTTTACTTATTTCTACATTCTCATAGGCATCTATATGCCTGTTGTTTTTAACTTGTCTAACTAATCGTAATGAACTAAAGTCTATTTTGCAACAAAACCATATTTATTCGAAGTTTCTGGTGGAGATTTGAGTTCAATAATGAACAAACTCGATGGACTCGAGCAAAGGATAGGAACCACTAAGACAGAGTAGATAAAATCAAGAAGGAAATGAACACAGAAGTAGAGAAAATCAAAGGACGGAAATTTCATTTTAGATACGGACGCTATCAACGTGGGACTTGGAGCAATCCTTTCTCAAATCCAGGATGAACAGGAGAAAGTTATTGACTACTTCAGTAAAACGCTCAGTAAACCAGAGCGCAATTATTTTGTCACAAGACGAGAGCTGTTGGCCGTTGTCAAAGGTGTAGAGCATTTCTACAAAAACGTGTATGGAAGAAGATTTCTATTGAGAACGGACCATGCAGCTCTCAAATGGCTTCTGCAGTTCAAAAATCCCGAGGGCCAAGTAGCGCGCTGGATTGAGAGACTTCAAGAATTTGACTTCGAAATAGAACATCGAGCTGGGACTAGCCATAAAAACGCAGATGTCCTGTCACGGAAACCATTCCCCAATGACTTCTCACATTGCCGACGAACAGAAGAGAAAGAAACAGCTATTTGTAGAACCACAGCTATAGACGACAACTGGAAGGATAATTAGATCAAGGAAGACTAAGAGAAATACCCAAATCTTGGTTTAGTCATCGGATGGAAGAAAAGTAATCGAAGACCATCGTGGCAGGAGGTAGCAATTTAATCGCCAGCGGTTAAGTCCTACTGGGCACAATGGAACTCCCTTAACTTGAAAAACCGGGTTCTGAAGCGGGTGTTACGAGTCTGAAGACGGTGGAGAAGAAAGGCGCCAGACAGTGGTACCCAGGAACAGACGACGGGAGGTGCTCAAATAAATCCATGATGGAGTCACTGGAGAAAACCTGGGAATAACGAAGACCCTCCAGAAAGTAAGACAACGGTTTTACTAGGTTAATTGTCAATCCGACGTCAAGGACTGGTGCAGAAAATGTAGTGTATGTGCTGCCAGTAACGGGCCTCGGATACGACCGAAAGCTCTAATGCGCCAGTATAACGTGGATAGTAGTTCCCAGAGTCCGACTATGGAACAAATACATCCTGGTAGCCATGGAATACTTCGTTAAGTAAGCAGAAGCCTATGCCCTGCCCAACCAGGAAGCCTTTACCGTCGCTGACGTCCTGGTAAAGGAATATATATGTCGATTCGGTGTCCCATTGGAGCTGCATTCGGACCAGGGCAGAAATTTCGAGTCCAACCTGTTCCAAGAAATATGTAAACTGTTGGACATTATAAAGACCAGAACCACAGCCTTACATCCACAGTCCGATGGAATGGTGGAACGAATGAATAAGACCAGATACCGCCACTTCGGCTGTGCACGAGTCAACCGGCCAAACCCCTGCCAGTATTATAATGGGACGAGAGCTGCGGCTTCCTTGCGACCTAAAATTTGGGATGCCTCCAGAACAAGACACTGCGGGGGAAGACTATGTCAGCAAGCTTCGGCAGAGAATGGACGACATTCATGAACGAGTCCGTCTGAACATCCGGAGTGCCAGCGATAGGATGAAGGAGGCCTATGACATCAAGGCGAATGCTGGAGGATTCGAAATCGGCGACCTAGTTTG